GGGAAACCTAAGCGACCTTGTTCCCAGTTTATGGTTCACAGTGAATGAAGTGCATGACTAAAGATCGCTAAAGAAATAGAAGAGCAGTGGATGGAAGAGTGGTCAGAACATATGTCTACCGGAAAGGCTAACCCGGCCAACAAATGCCTGCATAAGTCGGATGTGTTGGCCGAAAGGTGCAAATATCACAGCCATGCTGTAAACGGACACAAAACAATTACATCTTCAGATGAACGCAGAAAAAGAAGAAGAAGAAGATATGTCTCATACACTGTGAGATGAGTGTAGCTACCTGCCAGATGTTGCCCCAGGTAACAGACATGAAAGTTGTAGAGATCAAGCAGCCCCAGGTAACAGACATGAAAGTAGTAGAGGTCAAGCAGCGCCAGGTAACAGACATGAAAGTAGTAGAGATCAAGCAGCCCCAGGTAACAGACATGAAAGTTGTAGAGGTCAAGCAGCCCCAGGTAACAGACATGAAAGTTGTAGAGGTCAAGCAGCCCCAGGTGACAGACATAAAAGTTGTAGAGGTCAAGCAGCTCCAGGTAACAGACATAAAAGTTGTAGAGGTCAAGCAGCCCCAGGTGACAGACATAAAAGTAGTAGAGGTCAAGCAGTCCCAGGTAACAGACATGAGAGTAGTAGAGGTCAAGCATCCCGAGCTAACAGACATGAAAGTTGTAGAGGTCAAGCAGCCCCAGGTAACAGACATGAAAGTTGTAGAGATCAAGCAGACCCAGGTAACAGACATGAAAGTTGTAGAGGTCAAGCAGCCCCAGGTAACAGACATGAAAGTTGTAGAGGTCAAGCAGCCCTAGGTAACAGACATGGAAGTTGTAGAGATCAAGCAGCCCCAAGTAACAGACATGAAAGTTGTAGAGGTCAAGCAGCCCCAGGTAACAGACATGAAAGTTGTAGAGGTCAAGCAGCCCCAGGTAACAGACATGAAAGTAGTAGAGGTCAAGCAATCCCAGGTAACAGACATGAAAGTAGTAGAGGTCAAGCAGCCCCAGGTAACAGACATGAAAGTTGTAGAGGTCAAGCAGCCCCAGGTGACAGACATAAAAGTTGTAGAGGTCAAGCAGCCCCAGGTAACAGACATGAAAGTAGTAGAGGTCAAGCAGCCCCAGGTAACAGACATAAAAGTAGTAGAGGTCAAGCAGCCCCAGATAACAGATATGAAAGTAGTAGAGGTCAAGCATTAAAAACATGACCAGTAGGCTGGCAGTTAGGTAGTCGTTGTGTTACCTTGATATCTATACCATGCACAGCTCCAAGGCAGAATGAAAACAATACTTTAAAATACAAATAATATCTCACACTTCACATTTTCAATGTACAATATGGAAATTCACACATTAGCAGCCTTTGAGAAAATTATTTGTGTAAATAAAAACATGAATATGCATACTGATCAAGTGCGGGGACACAATACATACATGTCATCATATCAGTAATACAGGCATATCAGTGATAAATACAAATGATAGATGTGTAAAACATAATTTCATGTCATGGAATGAAATCAACAAATATTAAAAGTATAACAATCTTAGACTGCAACAAACAAAAGCTAACAACTTATGACTCTCTCACAAACAGAAGCTAACAACTTATGACTCTCTCACAAACAGAAGTCAACAACTTATGACTCTCTCACAAATAGAAGCCAACAACGTATGACTCTCTCACAAACAGAAGCCAACAACCTATGACTCTCTCACAAACAGAAACCATCAAACTTGCATTTTCTCAGATACAAAGAAAATACTAAAAGTTTGTCTACTTGAGAGAAGAGCCTCCTAAAAGTCTCTGTAAAATCAAGGTCCCCCTACCCCCCATTACACTCTCTGTTAACATTATTGTTATGATATTCAGATCTGTTATAAATATGATATTCTGTTGTTTTAAATCTTCATGGGGAAATTCACTGAGAAGACACATAGTTCAACATCTGGGTGGCTTGTGCACAGGGCATGGATGGGACAAGATGTGAGCCTGTGATCTGGTCTGAGATTGTGAACTGTCACTGACTGGTGGGACACTAGATGACATGAACCTGAACTAGCAGACACTGAAGATACTGCTCAGACTCTGGGACAAGGGCAGGAGGAACTTCATTCCTGACCTTTATTGGTGCTGGAGATCTTTCAATGACAGCAATGTTCTCTTTGAACTTATTGTGGGAGAATTTTCTTAATGATGTCTCCAAATAGCACAGTTTAACACTATCATCTGGACAGATGACAAGCTGCTAGAAGTCACAGTGTCAGATACTCACTTGCCCAAGCAATTGAAGAGATATATACATCCAAAGACATATACATGAATATAGCAGGCACAAGAACATCATGACATCTATCTGTAGCAAAGTGATGATCTGCCATAGGTCTGCTTTCAGTAAAGGAGTTAGTGGAGGTGGGGGAGAGAGAGAAAGAACTGCCTTGTTTAGATGAGATTTGGATATACTAGACGAGAGGGTCTAAGGTTGTGACAGCCAGGTTTTTTAGAGGTTGTGACAGTCAGGTTTTTTAGAGGTTGTGACAGCCAGGTTTTTTAATGGTTATGACAGCCATGGTTTTAGAGGTTGTGACAGCCAGGGTTTTAGAGGTTGTGACAGCCAGGGTTTTAGAAGTTGTGACAGCCAGGGTTTTAGAGGTTGTGACCGCCAGGGTTTTAGAGGTTGTGACCGCCAGGGTTTTAGAGGTTGTGACAGCCAGGGTTTTTAAGAGGTTGTGACAGCCAGTGTTTTAGAGGTTGTGACAGCCAGGGTTTTTAGAGGTTGTGACAGCCAGGGTTTTAGAGGTTGTGACAGCCAGGGTTTTAGAGGTTGTGACAGCCAGGGTTTTAGAGGTTGTGACCACCAGGGTTTTAGAGGTTGTGACAGCCAGGGTTTTTAGAGGTAGTGACAGCCAGGGTTTTAGAGGTTGTGACAGTCATAGATTATGTGACAGAGTGACAAATGATTACTGGATTAAGTGACACAGTGACAAATGAACAATGAATTAAGTGACAGCGTTACTAATGATTACTGGATTATGGGACAGAGTGACAAATGATTACTGAATTAAGTGACAGAGTGACAAATTAATACTGGATTCAGTGACAGAGTGACAAATGATTACTGGATTGTGTGACATATTGACAAATGATTACTGAATTAAGTGACAGAGTGACAAATGATGACTGGATTATGTAACAGAGTGAAAATGATTCCTGGATTAAGTGACACAGTGATAAATGATTTTTGAATTGAGTGACAATGACAAATGATTACTGAATTATGGGACAGAGTGAAAATGATTACTGGATTAAGTGACACAGTGACAAATGATTTTTGAATTGAGTGACAGTGTCAAATGATAACTGAATTATGTGACAACAAATGATTACTGGATTATGTGACAGACTGATAACCAATTACTGGATTAAGTGACATATGATCATTGAATTAGTTGACAAAGTTACAAATGATTACTGGATTATGGAACAGAGTGACAAATGATTACTGAATTAAGTGACAGAGTGACAAATTAATACCTGATTCAGTAATAGAGTGACAAATGATCACTGGATTGTGTGACATATTGACAAATGATTACTGAATTAAGTGACAGAATGACAAATGATTACTGAATTAAGTGATAGAATGACAAATGATGACTGGATTATGTAACGGAGTGAAAATGATTACTGGATTAAGTGACACAGCGATTATTGATTTTTGAATTGAGTGACAATGACAAATGATTACTGAATTATGGGACAGACTGAAAATGATTACTGGATTAAGTGACACAGTGACACATGATTTTTGAATTGAGTGACAGTGTCAAATGATAACTGAATTATGTGACAACAAATGATTACTGAATTATGTGACAAATGATTATTGGATTATGTGACAGAGTGTTAACTAATTACTGGATTAAGTGACATATGATCATTGAATTAGTTGACAGAGTTACAAATCATTACTGTATTATGTGACAGAGTGACAAATGAATACTGGATTGTATGACAGAGTGACAAATGATTACTGGATTGTGTGACAGAGTGACAAATGATTACTGGATTGTGTGACAGAGTGACAAATGATTACTGTATTATGTGACAGAGTGACAAATGATTACTGGATTGTGTGACAAAGTGACAAATGATTCCTGAATTAAGTGACAGAGTGACAAATGATGACTGCATTATGTTATAAATGATTGCTGGATTAAGTGACAGAGTGATAAATGATGACTGGATTATGTGAAAAATAATTACTAGATTATGTTACAAATAATTGCTGGATTAGGTGATAATGATTACTGGATTATGTTACAAATGATTACCAGATTAAATGACATGTGATGACTGGATAACGTCACAGAGTGATACATGATTGCTGGATTCAGTGATAGAGTGACAAATGAATACTGGATTATGTGAAAGAATGACAAATGATTACTGGATTAAGACAGAGTGACAAATTAATACTGGATTAGGTGGCAGAGTGACAAATATACGCGATTAGACATCATGAATACACAGGACTGATGTTTGCAAAACAATAAAAAAGTGGTTTGGGGGGGGGGGGGGGGCGGCGTGGGGGTTAGACTGCCACACACCACTTAAAATCCCACGCGAAGATGACATTTCTTTTTTCTTGTATGTTTAACAGGAAGCTCTCTCTATTTCGTTTAATGCCAATTTGTTTTCTTCACTTCTGAATTCCATAGTTTTGAGCCCTTTTATTTGAGGGCGTCCCTGTAACTGGCAGCCATAAGTCAGCAAACACAATCATCATCACACAGAAATCTGTACATAGTCATCATCTGTAAGTGGATGTAAATCTGGCAGGTAGAGACTAATAACAGAATGCTGCCATAATTTATGCATGTACACATCTCTCTGTTATCAAGTACAGCTAAGGCAAGGTTTACATTTCAGATAAAACAATAACAGTTATTTATTATGCTTTAGACAACAAGAAGAAAACTAATTTATTGGCCCTAAACTTTCAATGGGGTTGTTTCCGGCACATGGCTGTCTATAAATGCATCCTCCTCTCCTCCCCCTTGACTTTGGTTTGACAAAATCCGCCCTGACTTAGGACCGCCTATTCCCATGCCATCCACCTCATCCCTGTAGTGGTAGTGGTTGCACTCGCTGATGTTGACGTAAGTAGACTGTATGTTCTGCTGTACGTTGCCCATCTTGTGCTCTATCTGCTCCACCATGGTGGTGATGTCACGGTACAGCTGGGAGAATGTGGGTCTCTCTGCGGGTACTGCATGCCAACACTGCAGCATAATCTCATACCTAGGGAGAGACACACAGAATGCAATCAATATTACCTGAGATATCTTACAGGCAGAATTCTTCTATGTTATACAACAGCAATTTTCACACAACTCCGATCAGATAAGCAAAGTCAATAAGCAAACATCCATCCATTTAAAACATAACATAATACTGAAAACACTGCAGACATTCATAATGAGCTGTCTCATTTATCATTTTCTGTCTCATGCGCAATAAATAGGCTGTCGACCACGTAGCAAGTCCTTAACAGAACATTCTTTATCAAAGTTCACTGGAAAGAATCCCTTCCCTCATCAGCTCTTTCCCCGCATATACCGGTCTAAGAGGTCTTCTATGTCCTGTGCTGACCTTCATCATGGTTGACCCCTGCTTCTCTACCATCTTCTCCACAACTATTTTTTCCCTGCCACTGAGACTCTTGGCTTAAGAATTTCACTTTCCAAGATGAGATGCTGACTAAGTGATGAACTAACTAGTGACAAACTGTAACATATATACTCACAAACGATCAGGGCAGTAGTTTGGATGAGGCATGCGACGTCCAGCCTTCAAGTAACGGATAATGTCCCAGTTGTCCACCTCTGGATAAGGCATCAGGCCCCTGGTCATCAACTCCCACAAGACCACACCAAATGACCACTGTAAGGGTTAGACAACAGTATCAACTCTATGGGATGTTTACAACAGTGTGGATCTTCCTTGTTCTTCTTCACACCTGGCTAAACACTTCAGAGGTTGTGGTGTCTGAATCTGGCATGCCTTTGTGTCAGGTTCACCCCCTCTAGATTTACCATTCCAGATAGAAGGCTCTATTGATATATTTATTGTCTTTCCTAACAATTTTTCAATGAAAGTAATCACCTTCAGCGACATCTCAACAGATGTTTTTCTAGGAAACGCAAGAGGTATCGAAGACTGCTCTGAAGAAGACAGTTCTGGGAACAAACTCACTTCAGATAGCCAACAGATATTACCATTAGTTATGAACCGTACTGAAAGCTTGTGGCCCACTCTTTGCTATTCTAACAGGCTGAATGATCTTGGACATTCATAACTTGTGCTCGAGGTTTTCTATGTTCAGTATCCACTGTCCATCACCAGAAGAGAAACAATTTTCACTTTAAAGGATATGTGTCCTGAGTGTGTACAGTTTTAGAAACTGTAGACTTGGTGTGGTTTGTGAAGGATGACATTAATGAATCCAGACCATGCTCATGGATGAGACCAAGTGAGTCTCAGCACAATGCATGAATCCTGCAGCTCCAGCAAGGATCCCACTATGTGACTATTATAGAGATTCTTGCTGGTACACTGTATCTGCTCTTCCATCTTTGAAGTCTAAAAGAGAGACGCTTTTTAAAACTAGTAGATCAACTTGCTGCATGAGCTGGACAGTTTCCCAAGCTTCTTGAGGTATGAAGCCTTCAAAAAAACATTTCAACTATCACATGTTGAAACAATTCCTTTTCTCATCAAAATTAAACAGCTTTAAAAAAAAAACCAGATGAAGAAAAAAACAAACAAGTAGTACTGTCAGATGCAACAGAAAAACAAACAAGATGCACTCTGAGATATGATACTAGTGATAGGAGCAGAGTTAGCAATTTCAAATCTGGCCTCTGAGATATGATACTAGTGATAGGAGCACAGTTAGCAATTTTGAAATCTGGCCTCTGAAATATGAAGATGGTGGTGAGCATAGGGTCACTATCTCACACGATCACGAAACTCTTGGATCAGGCTTGTGCTCTTCAACTGTCTATACCATGTGGTTGAGTCATCCCAGGTTTTTATCTCTGTCTTCTCCTCACCTCTTTTCTACCATAGTCACCAAGCAATCAAATTGATTTTTCCTCAATGCAAACAGCTGTGCATGTCTGAATCAAATTTCTTGGATCAATCTGCAGGTTTCATCTGTTTCTCTCAGCACACAAATTGATATACATTCTGTGGGAGATGGACAGAGGTCAGCCAGCACCAAGGCAGGGGTTGATGTATGCAGTGCTGACTTAGATGGCAGTACAACAATGACCTAGAACAATACTGACCACATAGCAATACAACAATGACCTAGAACAATACTGACTACGCGACAATATTATGTCCTAGAAAATAACTGATCACATAGCAATGCAATAATGACCTAGAACAATATGGACAACATGGCAGCACCACCATAATAACCTAGACAATACTAACAACATGGCAGCACCACCATAATAACCTAGACAATACTAACAACATGGCAGCACCACCATAATAATCTAGAACAATACTGACAACATGGCAGCACCACCATAATAATCTAGAACAATACTGACAACATGGCAGCACCACCATAATAACCTAGACAATACTAACCAAACAGCAGTAAAGGAATGACTTTGAAAAAAACTTGACAATACAATAATGACCTGGAACAAAACTTGACAATACAATAACGACCTAGAACAAAACTTGACAATACAATAACGACCTAGAAATACACAAAATACGACCTTGACAATACCATAACGACCTAGAACAAAACTTGACAATACAATAACGACCTAGAACAAAACTTGACGATACAATAATGACCTAGAACAATACTGACCACACAGCAGTAAAGGAATGACCTAGAACAAAACTTGACAATACAATAACGATCTAGAACAATACTTGACTACTTGACAATACAATAACGACCTAGAAGAAAACTTGACTACTTGACAATACAATAACGACCTAGAACAAACCTTGACAATACAATAACGACCTAGAACAATACTTGACAATACAATAATGACCTAGAACAATACTTGACAATACAATAACGACCTAGAACAAAACTTGACATTACAATAACGACCTAGAACAAAATTTGACAATACAATAATGACCTAGAACAAAACTTGACAATACAATAACGACATAGAAAAATACTTGACAATACAATAACGACCTAGAACAATACGGACCACACAGCAGTAAAGGAAGGACCTAGAACAATACTGACCACACAGCAGTAAAGGAATGACCTAGAAAAAAACTTGACAATACAATAACAACCTAGAACAAAACTTGACAATACAATAAAGACCTAGAACAAAACTTGACAATACAATAACGACCTAGAACAAAACTTGACAATACAATAATGACCTAGAACAATACTTGACTACTTCACAATACAATAACGACCTAGAGCAAAACTTGACTACTTGACAATACAATAACGACCTAGAACAAAACTTGACAATACAATAACGACCTAGAACAATACTTGACAATACAATAATGACCTAGAACAATACTTGACAATACAATAACGACCTAGAACAAAACTTGACAATACAATAATGACCTAGAACAAAACTTGACAATACAAAAATGACCTAGAACAATACTTGACAATACAATAACGACATAGAAAAATACTTGACAATACAATAACGACCTAGAACAATACGGACCACGCAGCAGTAAAGGAATGACCTAGAACAAAACTTGACAATACAATAATGATCTAGAACAATACTTGACTACTTGACAATACAATAACGACCTAGAACAAAACTTGACTACTCGACAATACAATAACGACCTAGAACAAAACTTGACAATACAATAACGACCTAGAACAATACTTGACAATACAATAATGACCTAGAACAATACTTGACAATACAATAACGACCTAGAACAAAACTTGACAATACAATAATGACCTAGAACAAAACTTGACAATACAATAACGACCTAGAACAAAACTTGACAATACAATAATGATCTAGAAAAAAACTTGACAATACAATAATGACCTAGAACAATACTTGACAATACAATAACGACATAGAAAAATAATTGACAATACAATAATGACCTAGAACAATACGGACCACGCAGCAGTAAAGGAAGGACCTAGAACAATACTGACCACACAGCCGTAAAGGAACGACCTAGAACAAAACTTGACAATACAATAACGACCTAGAACAAAACTTGACAATACAATAATGACCTAGAACAAAACTTGACTACTTGACAATAACATAACGACCTAGAACAAAACTTGACAATACAATAATGACCTAGAACAATACTGACCACACAGCAGTAAAGGAATGACCTGGAACAAAACTTGACAATACAATAACGATCTAGAACAATACTTGACTACTTGACAATACAATAACGACCTAGAAGAAAACTTGACTACTTGACAATACAATAACGACCTAGAACAAACCTTGACAATACAATAACGACCTAGAACAATACTTGACAATACAATAATGACCTAGAACAATACTTGACAATACAATAATGACCTAGAACAAAACTTGACAATACAATAATGACCTAGAACAAAATTTGACAATACAATAATGACCTAGAACAAAACTTGACAATACAATAACGACATAGAAAAATACTTGACAATACAATAACGACCTAGAACAATACGGACCACACAGCAGTAAAGGAAGGACCTAGAACAATACTGACCACACAGCAGTAAAGGAATGACCTAGAACAAAACTTGACAATACAATAACAACCTAGAACAAAACTTGACAATACAATAAAGACCTAGAACAAAACTTGACAATACAATAACGACCTAGAACAAAACTTGACAATACAATAACGACCTAGAATAAAACATGACAATACAATAATGACCTAGAACAAAACTAGGCAATACAATAACGACCTAGGAGAATACTTGACAATAGAATAACAACCTAGAACAAAACTTGACAATACAATAATGACCTAGAACAAAACTTGACAATACAATAACGACCTAGAACAATACGGACCACGCAGCAGTAAAGGAATGACCTAGAACAAAACTTGACAATACAATAACGACCTAGAACAAAACGGACCACGCAGCAGTAAAGGAATGACCTAGAACAATACTGACCACACAGCAGTAAAGGAATGACATAGAACAAAACTTGAGAATACAATAACAACCTAGAACAAAACTTGACAATACAATAACG